TCAGGACTGAGAGGGGCCATTTCAGTCCTGAGAGGGGCCCATTTCAGTCCTGAGAGGGCCCATTTCAAGCTTGAGAGGGCCCATTTCAGGCCCTAGAGGGCCTGTTTGATGCCTGAGAGGGCCCATTTCAGACCTGAGAGGGGCCATTTCAGGCCCAAGAGCGACCATTGCAGACCTGAAAGGGCCCATTTCAGGCCTGAGAGGGCCCATTTCAAGCTTGAGAGGGCCCATTTCAGGTCCTAGAGGGCCTGTCTGATGCCTGAGAGGGCCCATTTCAGGACTGAGAGGGGCCCATTTCAGGACTGAGAGGGCCCATTTCAGTCCTGAGAGGGCCCATTTCAGGACTGAGAGGGCCCATTTCAAGCTTGAGAGGGCCCATTTCAGGTCCTAGAGGGCCTGTTTGATGCCTGAGAGGGCCCATTTCAGGACTGAGAGGGGCCCATTTCAGGCCTGAGAGGGCCCATTTCAAGCTTGAGAGGGCATATTTCAGGTCCTAGAGGGCCTGTTTGATGCCTGAGAGGGCCCATTTCAGACCTGAGAGGGGTTCATTTCAGGCCCAAGAGCGACCATTGCAGACCTGAAAGGGCCCATTTCAGGCCTGAGAGGGCCCATTTCAAGCTTGAGAGGGCCCATTTCAGGTCGTAGAGGGCCTGTTTGATGCCTGAGAGGGCCCACTTCAGGCCTGAGAGGGCTTATTTCAGGCCTGTGAGGGCCAATTTTGGGCCTGAGGGATCCCTTCTCAAGCTTGAGAGATCCTAATTCAGGCCATAGAGGGCCTGTTTAAGGCCTGAGAAGGCTAATTTCAGGCCTGAGATGGGCCCATTCGTGGCCTGAGTCCTGAGAGGGTCAATTTTAGGCATGAGAGAGCCCATTTCAGGTCTGAGAGGGTCCATTTTAGGTCTGTGAGGGCCCATTTTAGATCTGAGATGGCCCATTTCAGGCCTGAGAGGGCCCATTTGAAGCATAAGAGGGCCCATTTCATTTTTATGACGTGGTTTTTATGACTTTTTCGGAGACAAAACAAGTTAAGTTCCTGAACTCGGTCTGTTCAACGGTGTGTATGATTAACCGCAACTCTATCCATTGAGCTATCAACGGTGTGATATTCAGTCCACTTTTATAGAGAACGGAACACTTAGAGAAACAGGTCGAACGGCCCGCCGACAATGCATTTCGTCGCCAGCCCGCCGTCGTTTTCATGGCAACGAACGGCTTGTTTACGAAATGTGGCGTTTGTCAAACAGCTGATACGCTCCAGTCTAGGTTACCCCATAGGCAACCATGAACTAAGGTTATATTGCATCCCTATCCTTGGACAAGCCTTGATATTGAACACGCACTTGTTATTTCAATGTCGAGAAATACTATAAGTCTTGCATTCTATTTTCATAACGGGTTTTAAAAACCAGACACATATAACATAATAACATTATATAATAGATGCAACGAGCTAAAATTGCTCAATGTAAATGGCAGATAAAATCACTCTAAACATCTACATTAATTATTTTATTATGTTCTTGGAATTGCCAACTATAAAGCAGAAGTCAGAACTAAACAATACCCATTCGCAAGTGTCTCAATCTTGCCTTGTTCCATTACCGGAAAATTGAGCGTGCTGCGCCCAACGAAACGTAGGCCGTAGCGATTGGTATTTTGCTTCAACCCTCGCCCGCCCTGGCATTCTATGACCGTGGCAGGGCCGGGGGGGGGGGGGGTCGATGCAACCTCCCTAAGGTTTTTTTGAAGATAGCGTAAAAACGTTAGTAAGATATATATATATATAACGCCTGATTTTTTGTACTGCATTTCAGATGGAGAAGCAACAAGTAGGCGAACCACGTCGCGCAACAACATCTAAGGTGCTCTCTGGAGCTCAAAAAAGAAAGAGGAAAAATGAGCAAGAACAGATGCTTAAGAAACTGCCCAAAATAGCACAGTTTTTCTCAAAGGGGGACGGATCAGTAAAGGTAGGATAATGTTTTACCCTAACGTATTATGTTGATTCTACTTGACTTTGAGCTATTTGATTAGACGATGTAAACTAGCAACAACTATATAATCATCATTCATAAAACAATGGCCAACGCGGTAGTGAAAGTTGGGATTGACATACAATTTATTCCTTGTCTCCTATCTATCGAGATGATCTATCGAGGTACAATTAGGGGGGAAAACAAAGCTGGCGAGTAAAAGGCGAATGGAATGTGACTAGCAATGCTTTGATCCCGGGCTGTCCATCTGCACGTACGTACGCTTGTCCCTGTTGCTGCGTATCTTCAGCTTCCATAACCATTTCAGTCGAACACGGCTCCAGCCTCCGATCCTGATGATCCTGGCCCCGTCGCTGCCTCTTCGCCTCCATGTGACTCGGCAGAAGTCGTGCACCAGGCCACCGGCCAGAGCCTGGTAAGTGCATTTTGGATAGCACGCAATTCAGAAATTATATTAAATGGACAATCACGGAATACGAGACACTGTTCCGATGAAAAATGGACTAACAACGCTTTGACTTTTCGGCTGTTGATTATCTGTGCGTAATCCTTCCTCTATTGCGTATCCTCAGCTTCCATAACCATTTCAGTCGAACACGGCTCCAGCCTCCGATCCTGATGATCCTGGCCCCGTCGCTGCCTCTCCGCCTCCATGTGACTCGGCAGAAGTCGTGCACCAGGCCACCGGCCAGAGCCTGGTAAGTGCATTTTGGATAGTACGCAATTCAGAAATTATATAAATGGACAATCACGGAATACGAGACACTTGCGAAAGGTGGCCTATTGGCTATTTTGGTGGTTGTTCCGATGAAAAGTGGACTAACTATGTTTTGACTTTTCGGCTGTTGATTATCTGTGCGTAATCCTTCCTCTGTTGCGTATCCTCAGCTTCCATAACCATTTCAGTCGGACACGGCTCCAGCCTCCGATCCTGATGATCCTGGCCCCGTCGCTGCCTCTTCGCCTCCATGTGACTCGGCAGAAGTCGTGCACCAGGCCACCAGCCAGCGCCTGGATCCTGGTAAGTGCTGTTGGCCTATGACCCTGATGATCTTCGAAACAATGCGTATTGCCCATGGCAGAAATCGACCCGGCGGTGAAAATAACCATTTCTTATTCATGTTTGTGCTTATTTATCAGCAAAGAAAAAAGTAGTAAGTAATACACACACCAACATAAAAGCATATATATATGTTACAGGGAGTTTGAGAAATCCGTGAGTTTGCAAACTCCCTAGTGAGTTTGCAAACTCCCCGACACATCAGTGAGTTTGCAAACTCACTAGGGAGTTTACAAATTCACTAGGGAGTTTGCAAACTCACTGACCGGTCAGGGAGTTTGAGAAATTTCAGAGTGATTGGGCCAAATAAAAACAAGTGTGCAGCATGTGGGTGGCATACCTGCCGTCCGTGATGTTAAAACAAAGGAGGCTAGCTCTAAGGCTTCGCACGCTGACAAAAAGCTTATAGATCATATGCACACCATAAATACTTTTTTATCTTAAACTGCTCAGTGATTTACCCATGCATGTACCGCCGCTTTATTTAGTTATACATTTATTTAGTTCACGTCCCAATTAGACCCGTTCCACTCAAGTGTGGCTATTCCAGAGTCAGGCTAAATATATCAAAGTAGAAACAGCTCACTGTTGGTCACTTATGCTAAAGTACTCGTACAGGCACACGCATCAATTCACGCCCATTCCCACTCCGCCATAGACGTGTCATCGAGAGCCGGCGCTGCTGGCAGCCAGCCCAGCTGCGACTGGCGCACGCTGCTTGTTTGTTTTTGTTTTGTTGGGTTAGGCCCTTTCGGTCTGACAAGACCATTTCAGAGTCGGACGAATGATAGGAATTATAGGGGGAGACATTGGTCTGGGCAGACACCCTATATGCAGAGTCGCCGGGGCTGAGCCCGTCCGAATTGACAGACCGACCAGCCCCCCCCCCCCCCCAAGCACTCTTTGCACCCGGCTACGGGGTGCGCTCCCTCGGGAGCAGCGGTGCCGCTCCAAGGGAGCAGCCCGCATGAGATAAAGGTGCCTGTCCAGCCCGGAGTGGGGGTTTCGGCGTGGACGAGAAGGATTTCAGTATCCTGATTCCTGAGAATGGAAACGACGGAACGGAGGAGCACGTTGCTCCGAACCTCCCCTTTACATACATAGCCGCGAGTAGCATTTTTTTTTTTCGGTAAAACAATGAAGGATCTGTAAGCTTTTTGTCAGCGTGCGACGGTTATATAGGCCGTACCACTAGTCGTTTTTGTTTTAACATCACGGACGGCACGTATGCCACCCTCATCTTACACATTTGATTTTATTTGGCCCAATCGTTCTGGAATTTCTCAAACTCCCTGACCGGTCAGTGAGTTTGCAAACTCCCTAGTGAATTTGCAAACTCCCTAGTGAGTTTGCAAAGTCACTGATGGGTCAGGGAGTTTGCAAACTCACTAGGGAGTTTGCAAACTCACGGATTTCTCAAACTCCCTGTAACATATATATATATATACTGCGCCGTAATCTAAACCAATGCTCAAAGTCCTATACCCTTCCTTTCAGCCCACCGAAACGACATTGGAAAGTTCGTAACTTGCGTACCTTCAGATGCCACTATCATAGAAGAGATCCTGACCGACTGCTGGATTCCCGATCCTTCATATGACTTCCCGGTGAAAGAACACGGGAGGCGCCGCAGCCGTTTCCAGTACAAGCACCTGAGCACATACAACTGGCTGGCATACAGTGCGGTCCCCGAATCGGAAGGAGCCTACTGTAAGATCTGTGTTCTTTTTGCCTCTCGCTCACAGCAGCTGGGTGCGTTGGTGCTGAAGCCTTTCACACGCTACTGGGTTGCGCGCGAGACCTTCGAAGAGCACCAATCTAAGCCATACCACTGCCTCTCGTTGGAAAAGGCCGATGCATTTTTGCGCAGAGTTCGTTCTGGTGCTCCGGACATCGCTGAACTGATTATGCAGGGAGAAAATGAAAAAATACAGAAACGGAAGGAAATGGAGCGCATGGCCCTGGAGTCGGTGGCAGAGACAGTGCTGCTATGTGGGCGACAGAACATGGCACTGCGAGGCCACCGCGACTCGGGCCGCGTCAGCCTGGACGTCCAGGCCGAGCCACAGGAAGGCAACTTCAAGGCGCTATTGCGCTTTCGTGTCGCGAGCGGGGACACGAATCTGGGTAGGTGGATTGTATCTGCTCCAGCTAATGCCACCCATACGAGCTGGGAGACGCAAAACGAGATGATCCAAATATGCGGGAAGCTCGTCAGCGAAACCATCGTCCAACGTGTTCACCGAGCTGGGATATTCTCGGTCATAGCGGACGAGACGACGGACGTGTCCACGAAGCAGCAGCTCGCCATTTGTGTCCGCTACGTGGACATGACAGCGGACGACAGCGATGCCACTCCAGTTGTGCGAGAAGATGTGGTCGCTCTGATGAACCCGTCAGAGACGACCGGACGGTACCTCGCGGCGGCCATCATGAAAAAGCTAGAAGAGCTCTCGCTGGAGTTGCGGCTGCTGAGGGGCCAGGGGTATGATGGCGGCTCAAACATGAGTGGAGCAATCAAAGGTGTGCAAAAAGAGATCCGCGCGGTCCAACCCCTCGCAGTGTATACGCACTGTGTGGCCCACCGCCTCAACCTGGCATTGATGAAGGCGATCAAGATGCGCCAGATCACAAACATGCATGGGACGCTGCAAACTGTCTGCGCGTTCTTCAGCAGGTCAGCAAACCGCGCCTCTTTGCTGGCAAGGTGCGTGGCCAGTGAGTGCCCTGAGGCGACGGCGCGACGCCTGAAGCCTCTATGCATGACGCGGTGGGTAGAACGGCACGACACTGTCATGGTGTTCCTGGACCTGCTGCCTGCCGTCATCGCCGCACTGCAGGAGGTCGCAGGCACCGCAGCCGACACACAGACGGTTGCGACTGCAAACGGGATGCTTGCTGCTGTGACTACGTCCTCGTTCGTGTTTTGTCTGGTGGCCTGCGTGGCAACATTCGCCATCACACTGGAGTTGTCGCGACACCTGCAGACACCAAACATGGACGCGTCTCGGGCGCTCAACATGGTCCGTGACGCGAAGGAGGGTATCCAAGCCCTTCGGGTCAGGTATGACACGGACGTCTATGACCTGGCAGTGGCCAGGTGCAGCGCACTTGGTATCGAAGTGAGCACGCCCCGAGTGGTGGGGCGCCAAGTGCATCGCAGCAACGTCCCTGCAGATGGTCCTCGCGATCATTACAGAAAAAAACTTGTGGCTTCCACTGATCGACGGGCTGACTACCCACTACCCAGCTGGACGAGCGTTTCCCGGAAACACCAGATCATTCATCGCTCGACCTCGTCACAACGCTGGAGCGTCTGATTCCGGCGCGGCTCCATCAAATGGATGAGGAAGAGGTGCTGCGCGTAGCGGCCACCTACGAGTGCGACCTGCCGTCACCAAGCTGTCTCCGCAGCGAACTGCTCAGTTGGAAGACGCGCTGGGGCAAGAAGCTGATGCAGGATCGCCCGGCAGACGCTCTGGTGGCGCTTGGCAGCTGCAGCCTGCCAAATATCAGAGCTCTGCTGCAGCTGCTGTGCACGCTGCCAGTAACGGCCTGCGAGGCGGAACGAACGTTTTCTGCCCTGGCAAAAGTCAAGGACAGCTCGCGCTCCGCCATGGAGGAAGAACGGCTAGAGGGACTGGTACTCGTGTACGTTCACCCAACTGTAAGCATCACAAAAAAAACAGGTAGTTGACGAGTACCTGAAGAAGCCCAGGAAGGTACTCAAGCGCTGATCAGATGAGCGGCATTCAGACGACTTGGAGCGGAATTTACCCGCATCAGCCAGCTTTAGTCGATACAGATTGCTCGCGGCCATGACTAGCCCGAACTCCCGACCGATGGCTATGCATCATGAAACCATTCTGATGCTACGTGTCTTTTGTAAGTGTCTTGTTTCAGCGTGTATAAACCTTGGGTCGTTAAGTGTAGACTTCAGTTCATTAGCCATGCAATGTGGTACAAAAATGTGAGAAAGTTAGTAAGAGCCCCGGCCCCGCCCCGCCCCGGTTTTGCCGGGCGGTGCGGGCGGGGGCTGGCGGCCCGTCTGGAGCGCCGGGGAGGCATCCACTAGCTCTCCCCGGCCAGGGGAGGTATCCCTCAGATCTCCCCGGGGCCGGGATGGTTTACGTCGATGTTATGACACCGTCCCGGCCTGGCCAGACGGGCCGCAGAAGAGTTGGCTTATGTGGCCGCGATGGCCTTATGATATGTGTTTTATATGTATTCTGTAAGAATGTAAATGAATGTTGAAGTGTTTCTTCAGACGTCAGTATATATATTCGCTGGCATCAGACAAAGGAAGGGAAACTTATTCTGAAAGCTGCTGAAAGGTATGTCAGGATATTGTGTGGTGTAAGAAAAAAGGTCGCTGCAGAACAGACTTATGGTTATAAAAAAAAACATTGCGGCCTATGACCTATCCGAACACAGTGTAGACAAAACAATTATTAGACTTTATAAGACCGAAGTCATTCTAAACACCAACGTAAATGAACGATTATCTTTGCTTTGAACGGGCTATATCACTGGAGTCTGTCTTTAAACGGACTGAGCCTTTTTGAATCTGTCGGGCCCCATTGGACACTTGTCAATTTAAGTCAAAGTACAGGGTAAGAAATCATGTCTTACACCCAGTGATAAACCATATAAATGGTATAATCCATTATATTTTTTTGGGGGGGGGGGGGCCCGATCTGTCAGGGGGCCCTTTCATTAGCCATGTCACCCCCACTCCCAGACCTCTGGCTGCGCCACTGATATCGTTCCTTTTTCTAGAACGATATCACGCAAAACACGCAAACACGCAAAAAACGCACGAAGAAAACGCATAGTGTAGCCAGGCCTTTACGGTCCAGGATGCTGATTTTAAATTGAAATTACAGATATGAGATACCTACCTACTATTCATCAAATGTATAGGGCCTGTTCCAGCGCCTCCAGAAACCTCCAGAAAGCTCCAGAAAGCTCTAGAATCCTCCAGAGAGCGTTCCAGCGCCTCCAGAAAGCTCCAGAAAGCTCTCGCCAAAGCTCCAGAAACCTCCAGTAGCCTCCAGAGAGTTGGGAGGTCCAAATTTCTCTGGAGGCTCTGGTCTACAATTATGGCGCACATGTGACAATCACGAATGTAAACAAAGGACTTTTGACAAATAATTTTACAACTTGAATGTTAAGAAAATTACATTGCTATAATTTTGTTAATCTTTCTAAATAAAATTGAAAACAAATTTTGTGTTTCAAGAGAGAACAATCGTCATTCTTTTGGTATCTGTTACACAAATCTCCAGAAATCTCCAGAGGGCTGTTCACGGGCCCTGTGTGCGGTCGGACCGCACACAGCCTCCAAGCTCCGCCCACTGCGTCCCTACGTCAGCCTTCCGTCACCGCACACAGCGACCGCTGTGGCCGGTCGGGACTGGCCACAGCGGACCGTCCACCGCACGCAGCCGTGACGTCAGAGCCGCCTACCCATCCCCTACCCCCACGCCTGCTGGACGCACCGCACACGCCGCACGCAGCAGTGTGCGGTGCCCGTGAACACCCCTCAGATTGCGTTCCAGCGCCTCCAGTGAAACCTCTGGTAGAGCCTCCAGTCAAGAATTTCTACTGGAGGCGCTGGAACAGGCCCATAGTCACCGTGATCAAATGTAGCGAATCTTGGGCTGTATTGATGACGTCATGAGCACAAGTAACAGACAAAATCAAGTAATAGACAACATATAATTTGCCGAAACCTTGGTCATAAGTCGACAAGCGGCAACAAGCGGCGCGGCGGCGTTTGCGGCGGGGTGTGCGCCCCCGAGATGGTAAAGGAATGAAATAAGATAATTTTTTGGTGAATACTGGCTATTAAGGTATGTTTCAAATTAAAACTATTAAAATGTTGATTGTATTAAAAGCTCAAAGTGCTAAAATTGGGGCTAGGATGTATATCAAATGTTTTTTTATATAAAAATGATGCAAATGCCTGATCCGCGTTAGTTGTAATGGAAGCACCAAATAATGTGAAGATATGTTATGAGAAAATTCATCAAACTTTACTGATCCTTACCTGACCTGAACTTACATTTTTCTAACATTTACATAAAGCCTGACAGTACACATACATAGGCACTTTGCTTGAAGCACTGCAGCCTGGAACAGACTCGTTCCGCAGCCAGGAAATCACTTGCGAGAGCCTATTCAAATGCATGCGTTAAAGGCAAAAATCTCTGATATCAGGTTATTATGGGCAAATGATTAAATTTGTGCTACTGTTGGAACTAAGGTGTGATTGTGGCCCTAGCTGGTCCAAAGGGTTTTTGCACTTAAATGTGTCCTTTGGTGACTGGATTTTTGTAGCTTTTTTTAGCATATGTATTGAAAACCTGTACCTAGTTATTTAGCTTCTAAGGTGAATGCTTTTCTGCTCATTTTTTTTTTTTTGTTAACCTGGAGAGAAAATGGCAATTAAAACCCTGGCTGTAAGCCTGTAAGTCTTTTAGGTAACAGACTATTGAAGTCTTTAGGTAGCTCAGCTCTTTACTGCCAATGATTCATAGCTCTGGGTGTGTATGGATGTGAATGATGCTACTCTGTGATATTCACAGATGTGGTCTGGTCCTGATGGTGGCAGTCAAAGCTGGAATGCCAACTGGGCATTTCAGCAATCTACCTATCAGAATTACAACACAGATGAGGGTAAGGAACAGCATCTGTCATTAACCTCACAAGGGTTAGGTTGTTTTTCAGGCATGTGTAATGCTGCTGTGAGGTAGCTTGATCTGCAAGTTGTTGACTGTTTTTTCATCCATTGTTTCTTGCTCTTCATCCATTTGGTAAAATTCTTCCTCTGAAGTAGTATTTTGTTTTATCAACAATCTTATGGTAGTGCACTGCTTATGCAATGCACTGTAGCACACAAGCCCAATGCCCTTGTCATACCTAGCTGAATAGCTTTTTCAGGTGGTCAGGTAGGGTGTGCATTGGTGTGTAAGAGTAGCTGCTGTTAATTCTTCTTTGTTCTTAATTATCCCTTGCTGGGAGATTTTGATGTACTGTTCATAACAAATTTGTTATACATTGAAATTAATTTTACATGCCTGCCTCTCTGTAACAGTCAATGGCCATCCTGAATTACAAGATATGATGTGGCCATGTGATGTTAACAGTCTCTCACGCATGTCGGCAGTGGACTGGGCCCAGCTAGCACAGCAATGGATCCAGATGAAGGACCAGCCGTCGGCAGCGGCCGACAGTGGTGTTGGGCCGCCGTCAGTCCCCTCGGACGCCGGCGGCGGCGGCGAGGCGGACATGGAGCTGGATGACGGCGGCAAAGAGGAGACAGTCGCACTGTCAGGTTAGTGGTCAACCTGCTGGAGTGGCATTGGTGTGTGCTCAGCTCAGACTGGCACTGGGACGTAGAGATTGTAGCCGCCTCGCGTACGGACGTGTCACGGGGCTCTCTGGCCGACAGGGGCGGTGGACGGAGACCCGGCAGCGCTGCAGCGCCAGCCGGCGGCCGCCGGCGCCGCGGCGGCGCTGCAGCATCTCGCCATGGGAGCCGAGTTTCCGGCGGACGCCACGTCTACCGGCTGGGGCTGGGACTGGTCGCAGTCCACCGCCGGCTGGAACTGGCAGCAGCAGCAGCAGCAGCAGGGACAGCAGCAGCCGGCGGCGGCCGCCGGTGGGAACGATCAGGCGGCCGTCGAGTACAACCACGGCGCCCAGCAGCGACGACCGGTACGTCAGTTCGCCAGTGGGCGATATTGGACAGTGCTTGGTGTCCTACTGTGGGGGAGAATTGATATCAAGCGCACTGGGCGGCTGACCGCTAAGTGCTGACATTATCCCTTGCTCTGCCGCAGTACCAAGGCTACTGGACCGACTCCGAGAGACCGCCGCCCTTCCTAAAGGCCCAGCAGGGGGTTGGCCCGGAGCAGAGCAACGGCAGCGACGCCGTCCACCCAGTTAGTCTCGGTCAGTACCTTTTGTGCAGCCCTTTCTCCGAGTTTCGAGTGTTACCAAACAATATTGGCTGTATATCCTCGCACTGCTACCATGACAGTGTTAAGCTCACTTTTACGAAGACAGTTTTATATACCCTCCGACTGTTTCTTTAACCGTTTCCATCTAACTGCGTGAAGAAGAAGGCAAAATAACTAATCGCGTGATATAAAATGTGTGGCTCTTAGCAGCTACTTCGCAGCATACTTCCCTCCTAATACGACGGTCCGGTTGTGACATTTTGTTTGCAGATGCGGCCAAGCGGCGCACGCTGCCGCTGTGGATTCGACAGGGTTTGGAGAAGATGGAGGAGGACAAGCGGAAGGCCACGGAGCGCGAGACGGCGCGCCAGGCGCGGGACCAGCTGCTCAGGAGCCGCCGCGAGCAGGAGGCGCTTGCGCCCGCCGACCCACTGCGACCCGACAAGAGCAAATTTGTGAGTGTCATTGTCCAATGTCCAGACATTTTAGTGGCTGGCTGACTTATACTGTTTGGTTGATGGTATTCTACTGTAGCTATACGGGCCAGACTGTTGTTATGTGAAGCAGTGCTGCTCAAATTCTATTCGTTTTGTGCAAGACTCGAGCAGCGAGGACTTCTGTTTAATTTCATTTGTTTGTATTGGTTCTGTGCAGGACTCGAGCAGCGAGGACTCTGCCTCGGACGGCGAGCGGGACGCTGAGGAGGACGGTGACCAGCGGGAGCAGAGTCCGGCCGCGCCCGAGCCGCCGCCGGACACGGGCGGAGCCGGCCGCCGCGCCAGGCCGGAGCCGGAGCCGGAGTCGCCGGCGGCCACCCTGCTGCTCATGACGCCCGAGGAGCGGCAGCAGGTCACGGTCAGTTCAGGGGAGAGCAACTAGCATCAGCAATTCTGATGTAGAAATAGGATGTGGCGTCGGTGAGCCCAGGAGTCTGTATGCCTGAGA